AGTGTTCTCCTGCAGCTCAAGGGGAGTACCTTGCGGTACTGTACCTAACAAACGAGTTCTCCTTCCTCTGTTTAGGGACATCTCGCAGCTCTTGCGTCACATTTCGGCCGCTACAAGAGCTTCCATACTAACCAGACGTACTTACCTTCTCCGCACTTACCTTTCGTAGGACAGCTAAGACGAGAGCTCGCCTTTCAAAGATAGGGCAGACAGCTGGCGGCGGTGTATCGGCCCTAGTGTGTGGCCTTCTTTTTTTTTTTTTTTTTTTTTTTTTTTTTTTTTTTCCCCCCTGGAAATTTGACGAGTTGCCGACCCTCTCTACTGGGGCAGATTGAGATTCATAATCTAGTAGATACCGGCGCCTAGGTTCATCGATAGCTGCTTTACTTTCGTTTCATGTTTTATTTTTCACACCCTTGTTTTTGGAGCTTTTCCGATCTAGAAGAATCTTTCCTTTATCACACTGAGTTCTCCCATTTCATAGCGCCCTCGGGCTAGGTCCAGAGGGAGTGTAATTTCGGGTCTTCCCCAAAAAGTCGCTTTTCTTGGCCAGCATGGAAAGACCGAAGTGCTGAATAGGTGGTAACACAAGGGGGCCCATCCCCAACCCAGGTCCTCTTTCCTTTTTACCGTTCACACCCTCCGGCTTCTTTCCTTTTCTGTCAGACTTACCACACCCCCCTCTCACACTTTCCTTGGCCCGTTACTTTCGGAAGTTGTGCCCTGAAGGGCTTAATCACAGCCCCCTCCTCATCTACTCGTTTTCAAGATTGAGCCTAGAAGCAGCGGCTGCAAGAACGATCGTGAGAGTCAGCGACAACAAGGTAGAGTTCTCAGGAACGATTCTTCAGAAAAGCCAGCCTGAGGAGCTCCGGCAGATTAAGGATATTTTAAAGACAGGGCGGCGGCAGGATTCCAATGGAGTTTAACGTGCGGTGCATGAACTGTGGGTCTGAAATACAAACAACTTTTGGCTGAGGGTCACATCAGAACTCCTCACGGAACTGAAAATAAAAAAGAAAATTACCAAATCACACTAAGGCACCCCCCTTTAAACCCCTTTAGCCCCTTTAAAATTCATTTATACTCCCCTTCCCCCCCCTTGACAGCCAACACTCAGAAAAAGAAAAGATCCCGGATTTGGGCTCCTCTCGGAGAGCACGGAAAACCCCCATCGCCAATTTTTTTTCCTTTTTTTTTTTTCTTTTTTTCCATGCCCGGGTATCCTGGGTGTCAGACCCCCCCAGGCGTCACGCCCGGGTGACCAGCCGGTCCAGACCGGCCGGTCATGCAAATCTTCCTAGGGAAATACCAGATAGTAAAATAGTATCAGAGATACCATTGTGTTGAGTTGTCAAGTTCTTTGTTTAAGTTTTTTGCTTAACCATATCACCAGTCACATCAACC